AACATTATCAAAACTAAAAGTTATATGCAGGTTGTGTTGAGTCTTATTTTGCGATGTGGTGCAATAAAAAAAAATAGGGAAGAATAGAAATTATCTTATGAAGAAATGTTGCAGATTGATAGAAATTGCAAAAAAAAATCATTTCAAATAACTTTTTATTTTGAGAAATAACCCCACTTTTAGATTTTCTGTAGGATTTTCTGGAGTCTTTGAATTCCACTAGATACTCGTTAGGACAACAAGAGGATTGTTCAGAATTTTTGGGATTTTTGTTGAATACTCTTCGTGAGTAAAAAAAAATACTATCAATACTCCTGACCGCTCTGGATTGAATGATTCCGTACAGTCTATCTCATATTGTGTTTGTAGATCTTTTGCTGGAAAAATCCTCACTTGTTTATTTTGTAGTACGTGTTAAAGAGGTAGGAAAAACTTCAACTTGCGTTTCCTAATGTGACTGATAACTAGTCCGTACAAAGTTTATTATTAAATCGTCTGAAAATGGAGCTTCTAACGGGTGATGATCAACTGTATTGCAAACTAACTGACTATTATAAGAAAACAAGTAAATCTGAGGCACCAGTCAATCTACTAATAACACTGATGATCTTCAAACATGACTCGATCTAGTAGATCACTATTATAATCTTCATGCAGTCATTGTTCACTGTGGTTTTGGCGTTGAATCTGGTAATTATTACGCATTGGTCAAAGACGAAACGGACTGGTTCAAGTTTGACGATAGTCGTGTCACTAAGTGTTCTGGCGATGTCTTGGATTGGAGCCTCTGGAGACACCTTACATTTTGTTTTATGAAAGTGGGGACATTGGCAAATGATGTGGTGCTGCAGGTTTTTCCGGGTTTTCCTGCAGCTGAAAAAGCAAATGCGCCACTGGAATCAATAAAGTCGCCCCGGAGTGCCAATTGATTTTTGTTGTTTCATAATTTCACGATTTTAAATAGCTTGTAAATGACTAAGTTGAATATTATCTGGTTTATTTTGACAGATAATGGGAATCACGTTACCAATTGTTTGGTTATTTATTCATCTTGATACAAGGTGAAATTGATTCCCATCAAATTTCAAATGAAGCATATCAAAAAATGTCATACGATGCGAACTTTATTGGTGACACTGTAAATATTTTTAAAAACGAGAGAAACGTATTGGGAAACCTCCTTGATGATATCCCTGTATGTACATAAAGAAAGAATTCGGAAGTAAAAGTACATCTCCCGGTGTACGTGTACAAAAACGAGTACCTATCAAGAGAGTAGGCGCCATCGTCTTTGGCGCCACGGTTGGAACGTTGACCTCTTTCATTTATTTCTCTTGTATCATAAAAATTAATTGATTATATGTAATTGAGTTTACTTTCAAATTCTTGGTAGTCGCCACTATGCTCCCATATTTTTCGTCAATAAAGACGACACCTATACAATCACGAATTCATCGTTGAAAGTCTGATAGATGTTTATAACATCTATCAGACCAACTTATTCACTTTAATCGAAATAAGCGCCATTTGAATCAGTGCACTTTTACCAACGTAACACAAGTCGAGTAATTCCGTCATCATAAAAATTGGGTTTTTGAGATTCACTGAAGTCGACGAAGGCCGGTTCTGCCTGATGGGCAAAGGTTCTACTGGTAATAAAGTTATGGAAGTGCTTGAAGAGATCGTAGTCGGTTGGCGAGAGGCCTGGAGAGTATGGTGGCTGAGGAAAAACTCTGACGCTCAACTCGTTCAATTTTCGGACGGTGATTTGTGAAACGTGCTGATAGGCGTTGTCGTGGAGCAGGATCGGACCTCCTCTGTTGACCAGTATCGGCTGCTGCTGACCTAATTCTCGGTACGTTTCATCGATTTCCTCACAATATGACTCTGTGAAGGTTTGGCCCGGTTGCAGAAAGTTATAGTGGATCGTCTCAGCCGCTGGGTGGCTCATCGGTCTCCCACCACTGTCCTGAACGTCTCCTGTTGTCTTAGAGGATCCTCTTTTCATTACACGTGATGATCCGATCAAAACAGGATAATTTTGGTTGCGCAAAAGCAAAGACGAACAGACCGCGAAAGTGACAATTTCTGGCAATTGTTCGAATCCTGGGGCACCTACTTTTCGAGCTATTTGACCTCTTCAATACGTTTCAAATCATCAAAAACGGCATGAGAGCTGACGCCTTATTCTTCCGCCATCCGAAGCAGAAGAACCTAATCCATGCTCTGGATTACTGTAGTTTGACCACTTCGAGGAGCTCATCTTCGAGCCTAAAATCTTCGGAAGGAACTTCACAAACCAACGTCGTACAGTGCGTTCATTAACACTATCATTGTTGTTTCGGCAAACCGTTGTGATTTAAAGACTAACTGATTAAAATAAACTTTACTTTATGTTTCCTTCCAAACATAATCCTTGTAAGGAAGTTTCGGTTTCGGCCGAAACTGAGACCGTTGCCAAAATTCGTTTTCGGTTTCGGTCGTAAAAACCAGTTTCGGTCGGACACTAACCACGACACAATAGAACAGGATAATTCCAGTGGAGATGGCCCTAGTAACTTTAAAACTCTACAGTGAAGGAATTATAATGAATAAAATATGATTTTTTTTTGACAAATGCAATAACGTAATTTTATACTTAAAAAAAGACTAGGACTGGCCATCTCTCCCAGGATGTCCGGAAGTGATAGCCAATACTTGTTTTGCCTTTTCCTTTGCCCTTGAGATATTTTTGCTCTTTTTTTTCTTCCTATCACCGCAGTATGAACACATGTCCTCAAACTCGGTGCAGTTTTCATGCATCCAGAACATGCAAATATTGCATTGTATCCAATCTTCTATCAGTTGTGTCTTATAATAATTATCAGCACAACCTCGGCAGTTATCTTTCTCTCTGTCTTCAGTTTCACTTTCAGAGGTATCATTGAAAACGATGGGAATTTCTTCGCAGCTGCTATCAGGCAACCTACAATTACCTTTCGTTTCTTAACAGTCTTTTTTCCTCAGGTTTTTCAGTCTTAGTGTTTGTTTTTATTATTTTTTTTGACTTTTTTTCCCTATTTTCTTTCATTTTCCGTTTTTCAATATGCTTCGTTAAGTACTGTTGTTGGTGTTGGTTGATCCACCATCTGAATGGATGTACTTGGGCTTGGCTGTGAAATTGATTGGGCCTGCGCTGCATGTCCGATATTTCTTTCAACGGGTTGCTCAATATTCTCACTAAAGGTGTACTCCGGAATAGCTCCTGGATTCAGAGGGAAAACTCCTGTTGTCCTAAATTCTGATATTGCATTTCCACTTGTCGCTGATTTTCCCAGGCTTGGTATAATAAGAAGACAAATTGTTGTCTTGTTAAACGACGTCCAGGGTGCTGTTTCATCCATAACCTGCAGGATTCATAGAAGTAAGTTTTGAGTGACTTGAAAACAGTAACATCCAGCGGCTGAAGATGTGTGTGACGGCATTGAGAGTAAGATGATGTCATTATTATTAGCAAACTCCAGCATTTTAATTGAATTGCAGTGTGTAGAATGACCGTCCAGCAAAAGGAGCACTTTGCCATCTGGTTTTCGAGGCAAGAAATGCGATTTCATCCATTCCATAAATATGTCGGAGGTTACATAGGCGGATTTTTGTGACATATAAACTACTGAACCTGGAGGCAGTACATCTTCGAATTCAGGTTTCTTTCGTTGCCCTTTCATAATACACACCGGAGGCATAAAATTACCCTCAGCATTACAACAACCAATTACCGTTATCGTTTCTCCTTTTTCTGTAGAGGATGACATAACTACAGCCTTGGAACCTTTTTCAGCAAAAACATGACCTGATCGATTATTTAACTGCAACCCGGACTCGTCAATGTTGTAAATATGGCCAGGTTTATTTATTAGGTCATTATCACCGAGAGTTTTCTCATGCATATTAAAATAGGTGTTTACCTCTGATTTATTCATCCCTTTACTTCTAGCGTATGACACCCCTTCTGATTTCCTCAATGAAATATAGGAATTTCTTTTCGGAAACATTTTCACTCAATCATAGCACGCCTTTTCAGATGTTTTACAGAATTTATGTTTAATTCCTAATTGCTTAGCAAACTTGAATGCAATTATTCTCAAATCATTCATAGTCAAAGGAAAGCCTCGTGACTGCATGTCTTTTATGTGCCTGCTCAGTCTTTTTTCATTATCTGTACCGAAGGTAGGTGACGGTCCCATAGGTCCTTTAGTGTTGTTATTTAGTTTTAACCTTCTTTCAAGTGTTTTCTTGGTATTTTGTAGGTAAAAGAGGTCTATAAATCGTCATCCCTTGATTTTGTACTTCTTCCATGGCATTTTTTAAATATTCTTCACTCCATTCACCTCGACCAGCAGCCACCTTCCGTACGTATTGGTTCGGCATCTGTAAAAAATATTGAATATTAAAAATAAATCAAAATTAGGACATTACATTTTATGGCTATCTCTCCGGTAAATACTATGGCCATCTCTCCCAATTGTCCGGGTGAGATGGCCACATTAGGTAATTAAAGCCATTTCTCAAGTTACTGGGTAATTTTGAGGTTAGAACACCGGGGAAGTTTTATTACTTCACTAGGAAAGCACGAAAACGGGCATAAGTATCAAAATCTTTTTGTGATAACTTAATATATTAACTCCAGTACTTAACTCGCATGAATAATTAAAAAACAAAGTCAAATTACTCACCGTTTCATTATTTTTTCGACGAAAAACCCACTGACAGTTGTTACTCGTGCCGATGAGAACCGAACTGAACGATGACTAGTGCCATCTATTGATTATTACTTGAACTTTTTTCTGTTGGCCATCTCTCACATACAGCCATCTCCCCGGAATAACCCTAAATATTTATTGAGATATGGAGCTAATATTGACATATTCCTCAATGTGAAATACTTCTATATACGCATACTATGCATTTTAATGTTTTTGCACAAATTGATTTTTTTTATTGAAAAACCTTCAATTTTTCAGACCTTTGAATCCTGAATCCTTCAAAGGGCTCACAAGAGTGAATTACCTCAGTTTAGCATACAACACGTTAGATGAAGTTCCAGAGCTGTTGTGGAAAGAAATGCCTATTATAAACACCCTCGATCTGGGAAGAACCAATATCAAGTCTCTTCGAAAATCTAGTTTTGCAGTAAGTGTTCCCTTGAACTTCAGTTTTGAAAAATATTGTATTAGTCATTATTATCAAGATTTTCTTCATTGTTTAGTCTCAGGACATAATGCCTTTTTTCATACATTCAATTTTTTGCTAGGTTTGAAACTAGAGCCTATCAACAAAACATTTATAGCATACGTGGACTGTTAAAAAATAAAGTAAATGTTCAAATTTCGCGGGCTACGTACATTCGATTAGAGATTTTTTTATGTTGGTACACTCATCTCGAACATATATTCATAGTTTCAACTGTTTAGCATTTTCAGTTTGCTGGTGAGACGCATGAAAGTTAGAAATGTTTTGCGTGTTCGGCTATTTTCTGCCATCCAAAAAAATGGGTCAAAGACTCAGCATCAAATTTTGTGTACAAAATGGAATTAGGTGCTCAAAAATACTAAGAATATTGACAGTGGCATCCAGTGATTGTACTCTGTGACTTAGAAAAATGTTTACAAGTGGTACAGTCTTTTCATAGAAAGTACAAAAATTGTTATGGAGAATCGTTGAATTACTACTAGACAAGTTGCTGAGGACGTCTGTATATTGGTTGGCTCATGCCACGCAATTTTGTCATCAATGTTGGGCATGAAGCGTGTGGTAGCGAAGTCTTTCCAAAACTGCTGAATTCTGACCAAAAAAAAACGCCCATTGAGCATCGCTCAAAAATTGTTGAATGACGTCAACGGCGATCCAGATTTGCTAAAAAGGGTCATAACTGGTGACGAATCATGGATATCTATATGGTTATGATATCGAAACCTAAGTCCAATCGTCCCAATGTAAGCGTCCATAAAAGCCAAGACCAAAAAAAGCACGTCAAGTTCGATCAAATGTCAAGATTTTGGTCACTGTTTTCTTCGATTAGCGTGAAACAGTGCATCAGTGTCCTTGTCACATGGCTTTTCGTTCAATAAGGAGTATTATCTTGAAGTTATGCGCCGCTTGCGAGAAGCAATACGAATAAAATGTCCGGTATTGTAGAAAAACAATAGATGGCTTTTGCATCACGAAAATGCACCTCACTCGTCATTGCTTGTTTTTTTTTTAATTTTCTGGCCGAAAATAAAACCGTAATCATGCCTCGGCCACCGTATTTACCAGATTTGGCCCCCTGCGACTTCTTTCTGCTCCCAAAAATTGAAGAGACCCATGAAACGACGGCATTTTGCGACGATTGAGGAGATACAAACCGAATCTCTAAGAGGGCTTAAGGACATACCAAAAAGTGAATATCAGAACTGCTTCGAGGACTAGAAAAAAAACGTTGGAAAAAGTGTATTATATCTGATGGGGACTATTTTGAAGAAGATAAAATATAAATTGATGAATAAATGAATATTTTTTGAGTAAAATGAAAATTCACCTTATTTTTAGAACAGACAGCGTATGTATCATTGATATATATGGTTCGAGTTTTCTGTCGATCCCATAGATGGCATTTTTGTAAAGGGAGATGTACATGCTCACTCATACTCAGATTTGTTCTTTACAGTTGAGGCTACAACGCATTCATAGTTCACCGTTAGTTAGGGAAGCTATGGATTATGCTGTAGACGACCCCTCCCGATATATAAGGGCCCGACACTCAGTCGAATGAGGCCCCTATGTCCTCCGTTAAAAGATGAACAATTTTTTTCATCCATCTCTAGTGTCCGACCGAAAGTTCGTTTTCGGTTGAGTTTCGGCAAAAAAACGGTTTAGTTATGGTTTCGGCGGCAAACCTGCCGAAACTACAACCGAAACCGAAACTGCATTCGGGAGTTCTCGCGCTGTGATCGGTCATGTTCGGCGCGTTGAATTTCATACAAACAACGAAGACATTTTGCCGCGTGCCGTGCATGTGATTAATCATGTCGTGACTCCAGGCTTATTTTGTGATCTATTACATAAATATTAAGTACCTATTGTGATATTAGGTAACAACTTAAATAAGTAATTTTATGTTTAATATTTTTGGAAAACCATCAATAAAATTCAAAAGAAGGATCTGCACCCACTCAAATAAACACCTCACCTATTTTAAGTATTTTGGAGATGCAATTAATATTTTTTTCTCAAATAAGAGTTTGTTATGTTGATTATCAATAAGTAAAAATGTCGAAGACTGCGTAACGTTGTGATTTAAAGATAAAAAAATAAAGACTGATTGATTATGATAACGTTTTCTTTATTTTCACCTCAAAACATAATCCTTATAAGGAAGTTTCGGTTTCGGCCGAAACTGAGACCGTTGCCGTAATTCGTTTTCGGTCGTAAAAACCAGTTTCGGTCGGACACTATCCATCTCCCCCAACCAGGTAGGGGTACACCGTGAAGGGCGGCACTGATGTCTGAGGACATTCATGTCGCCATCCCACAATCAGTCATGACCTATTTGTCCCTCTGACAAACATCAGTTGGAAGGGTAAGGGAGCCAGGCTCCAACCTGAACGAAATCAAGACGACTTTCCATTCATAGTTCAGCAAAGCATTTGAACAGACATCAAGACAGGTCGCAAAAGCACTGCATGGTATTAAATAATGAATACTTTGTTTGTGGGCTCTGGTTTCAACTAGTTGCGTTGCAGTGACTGTACCATATAGAACCTCAAAACTTCATCAACTAACAATTTTCTCCCCAATTTTTCTTTGTTTCCCATAAAATTATCGATATAGTTATCCTTCAGCCACATCAACTGATTACCATTCACCACGTCTTTCATTTATACTAAGTCTGTCAATAGAGAAGTATATGAAGTCATCAAGGCAAAATAATAGTGTATTTTTGTAATTGTAGGATTTGCCTCAACTCGAATGCCTGATGCTTGCCGGAAACCAGATATCACAACTTGAGAGTCATTCAATTCCGCCTCAAATTCAGCGACTACATTTGGGACGCAACTCTATTTCAGATTTAAACGGTACTTTGAGGAACCTTTCCGAGTTGTTTTGGCTTTTTGTCAACAGTAATAATTTGACAAATTTGGATGGTCAGTTACCACGTACCGCTCCCAACCTCAACTACATACATGCTTCCCACAACAGACTTGAAAAGGTGCCAAATCAACTGAAGAACTACCCGGCGTTGGAATCAATATTCCTATTCAATAACAGATTGAAGTCACTTGATGGAGCTTTTTCCAAAAATGATAAATTATTGAGGATAGTATTGGAGAATAATCAACTCAATACGGTAAGTGCAAGTTAATTGAAAGTTTTAAAACACCTTGAAAATCAAAATGTGAGTGTGAGTTTCAATTTTGGCTGTGGAAGTGAATAATAGCCTGACATTTTATATTCATATTTTTTAGTGAAATTTGAAATAAATTCAATAAATGTATAGATGTAGCTGTTACTACGTGGTAGGAAATCATCATGAGGAATTACAAATAAAACTTCCTATGTTTTTATACCACTTATACAGTTTGCTGGTGAGACGCATGAAAGTTAGAAATGTTTTGCGTGTTCGGCTATTTTCTGCCATCCAAAAAAATGGGTCAAAGACTCAGCATCAAATTTTGTGTACAAAATGGAATTA